TGACATAATAAACCCTCAAAAGAAAATGAAAACGAAAGTAATTGTATGCTATATTTCTAACAGTGCTAACAAACCCTAGCGCTAGGTTTTCACGTTATATTGATAGAAAAAAATCTTGGTTTATTCTTGAGCAGGACGACAAAGTAGATTCAGGTTAATATGTCTTTCATTTTCGTTGACGGGGGACAAAACGGAAATGATGCGTCTCTTCAGTCCACTTATAATTTGAATCGAAAAATGCCCCTAAAAAAATTTATAGTGTTATTTTTGCAGATTTTATATATATTTTTCCGCGGAAAAGATCATATAACTAAAGAAACATTTTAAATGGACTACAAAACGAAAATTCGTACACATGCGAGTTGTATGTAGAAAATGACAGGAATATTGACAGTCACATTATATAGAAGAAGCACGAAGGCCAAAGCTGTCAAAATTGGGCAATGAGCAGAATGAAACATTGCTGGATGAATAATCGCAGGTTTGAAGTGTCTAAGTTCCATGCCCTTGTGACTTTTCCCTTGGTAACACAACTTAAAATATTAAATCACGTTGAAGTAGATTACAAAAATAGAAATCAATTAAGTTGTTCCTTTACATTGGTATACGATGAAGGGGAATTTACTAGAGGTGATGATTAGATTTCGAATGATTACGATTGAGATTAATCAAACATAAGGTAAGCTCTTTAAGCAAAGAAACATGCTAGAACTAAATTAACTTGTTTAAAAAGAGCAGATTAAGGGAGAAAAGGGGGAAAAAACTGAATAGGAAAAGCCTTCCCTTAAGCTTTGTTTGGTTGATCCATAAAAAATGTTCACGTTTTAGCCCAGGAAAGATTTCAGACCAACAATTAAAGACTAGTAAATAGAATGAGTGAAAATTATTTACACCCCCAATTTGCTTTAAAAATCAAACTCCCTCCTTATCTTGAAGAATAGACATTCTCTCCTATATATCAATTGACTTTTTAAAATGCTTATTTTATCCTTACGTTATCAATCTGTATCTTTTCTTTTTTTAACTTATGCAAAATTATGATAATTTTTCTATTTTTTTAATATAACAAACTTACCTATAGAAAAATTAAATAATATTTTTGAGATAAAAAAGAAAAGTAAAAAATATTAACTAAGTGTATAAGTTAATGATGTTTTATAATGGAACAATTTAGCATAATAAATTATAGATTCATATATACAGAAATGAAAACTTTAATATGTATTTACACAAATGAAAATAAAAGATAGTGGAGAAATACATTTAAACATATTTTGTCACGACCCCAATTTCCCTCCGAAGAATATCGTGATGGCAACTAGTCTCTACGACTAGGTAAGCCTAACAAATAACAACAAGTGAACGGATATATAATAACAAGTTACTGAAAACGACTAAATAATAAATAAAACCTTCTGAAAACATAATCTCAAACATACACACCCAAAACCGGTGGAACTGAGTCATAAGCTCTATAGAATGCAACTAGAGTACTACTAAATCATTGTCCGAAAGGAAATACAACAGTAATGAAAATAAAGGAAGGTGATTCCGAGGCCTGCGGACGCCAAGCAGGCATACCTTGAAGTCTCTATCGATCGGCACGAGCGGATGTACCTGGATCTGCACAAGAAGATGTGCAGAAGCATAGTATGAGTACACGACAACGATACCTAGTAAGTATCAAACCTAACCGCAGCAGAGTAGTGAGGAGGCCAGGTCAAGACACCTACTAGGATATGAAATAGACAGTATAAAAATATAATACGGATAAGTAATGGAAAGTGAAGAATAACTGATACTAAACAAGATAACAGCAAGAACTAGTACCGGAAGTTAACAATAGAAATAACATAAAAGAAGCAACTAAAGTGCTACAATGATCATGTACAGACTACAAAACTACTAGAATAATAAAGAATGAAGCAACAAGAAATATTCTTCAAAGACCATATTGTTGTAAAAAACATAAAAAGGGGCATGAAGCCTGAAAACTCTCTCTGCGCATGTTAGCTAAACATATGCCATCCATGGGGAGGAGAGCAAAGGCATCAATCCCTGCACCCAAATTGACTCAGAAAGGGATAGGAAGAGTAGCTAATCCAGCATTTCATGTTGATATCCAAAATACTAGGGGGAAATCACGGGCAATTGCTGAAATAATTTGAGAGGGAACTAGGGCTCCGACAGTGGCGATACCGGGTCCGTCAATGGCGCCATCAAATTCAGTTCCTACATATGCAAACAATTCAACGAAGGAGCGGTTGGCTGAATGGGAAAAATCCATACAATCATCAGGAGATAGGAGGAAATTATCATGGGCTGATGAAGCAGAACTTCAGGAGAAACAACAAACTCAATTGCCATCTTCTGTGTGGGATAATTTTGATATCTTAAAAATTATAAATGCTGGATTCAAGCTAGAATATGTAAGTCCAGAAACAGAGGGTGATCAAAAAATTGGGGAGATTGAAGCAGAGGACATTGAATCAGAGATCGAATATTGGAGGAATGCAGTTGTTTGCTATGTCTTAGGTGCGTATCCACCTTTTAATGTTTTGAATAGCTATTTACAGAGGATTTGGGGTAAGCATGGTATCGATAAGATTGCAATGCTTAAAATGGAATTGTCATGGTTCGATTTGATAGCGAGGTGGGGAAGAATGATGTAATTCAGGAAGGGATTTTCCACTTTGATAATTAACTACTGATCGTCAAAGCTTGGAATGCTGATATGGATTTCTCAAAGGATGAACTATGCACAGTTCCAATATAGATTAAACTACCAGGGTTAGAGTTCAAGTACTGGAGTATCAAAGGCTTGATCAAGATTGGAACCCTGGTAGGAAAGCCATTAATGGTTGATAAGAACACAGAAAAGAAAGTGGGATTGAATTTTGCAAGACTATTGGTGGAGGTAAAAATTGGTGATCAGTTTCCGGAGACAGTTTATTTCAAGAATGAGAAAGGGGCAATTGTAGAACAATGGGTTACATATGACTAGAAGCCTTCTGTGTGTGTTGTATGCAGTAAGTATGGACATACAGGGGATAATTGCAGGAGGAATAAGGCTAAAGAGATAGGGAAGCCTACACATGAGACTAATACAATGAGGGTAGGTCAAGTGGAAGGAAGTCAAGCTATAGGTAGTCCGAGCAGGCAGACAGAGCAGGTAGCTCCAACAGAGATACAAAAGCAAGTTGAAACAGGCAGGGATAACAAAAGTGGGAAAGCTACACATAACCTAGTGATGCAGGGCGATGGGAGAAATAGGAAACAGCAGAGTGCAGGGTGGAATCAGTCGCAGAAACATGCTAATGTTCCTGTAGTTATTAAGGATGTGGTGACAGTAACTAATACATTCCAAGCATTAGAGAAAATTCGAGAGGATAAGGAAAAAGGAAGTCAGGGGAATGTGGGTAGCCAAACATCTCTCCCTATGAGAGAGAGTTAATATCCTTAGTTGGAATGTTAGGGGCCTAAATGGCCCTACAAAGTAGAAGGAGGTCAAACTCCTCTGTAATAAGCTGAATGTGGAATTAATTGGTCTATTGGAGACTAGAATTAAGCATAATAAAGTAGAAGAAATAGTTAATAGAATGTTTGGTGGATGGCAGTTTCATTCAAATCATGCATCACACTACAATGGTAGAATTCTAATACTATGGAGAGCAGGCTATTATAAACTTAGAGTCCTCAATGAAAATGCACAGGCAGTCACATGTGCAGTAACATTTGTGCCATTGCAATTGGAATTCCTAGCAACATTTGTGTATGCATACAACTCAAGAGAAGAAAGGAGTGAGTTATGGGAATATCTTTGTCAAACAGCTGGAATGGGGCACAAACCATGGATAACTATGGGAGATTTCAACTCTGTGCTACATGAAGAGGATAGGCAAGGTGGCAATCCGATCACTCTTAATGAAGTAATTGATTTCCAATCTTGTTTGGATGTAACAGGCTTAACTGAATTGCCAAACAGTGGATGCTCATACACTTGGAATGATAAGCATGAGAGTGGAAGGATTTTCTCTAGAATTGACTGGGTGTTTGTAAATGGTGAATGGATGGACAATTTGGTAGATTGTAGAGCAAAATTCCTACCTGAAGGTGTGAGTGATCATAGCCCTATTCAGATCACAATAGCACAGAATAACAACCAAGCAAGGAAAACATTCAGATATTGTAACATGTGGAGTTCTCATCCAAAGTTTAAGGAAATTGTGGAAAATGTATGGTCTCAGAGTATTGGGGGGGTACAAAATATTTCAACTAGTTAAGAAATTAAAACTCCTTAAAAGACAATTAAAGGCCTTACATAGGAAGCATTTCAGTAATATTGTAGAAGAAGCAGCACAGGATAGAGTTAACCTACTGAAGAGTCAGGAGGAACTTCAAAAGTTTCCACTGAACACTGCTTTACAGCTAGAGGAGAAGGCTATGGGGGCAAAATTCAGAAGGTCGAGTTATCTAGCAGAAATGTTCCTTCACCAGAGAAGCAAGGCAACTTGGATTAGGGCAGGAGATGACAACACCAGCTACTTCTTCTCAGTCATTAAACACAGGAAGCTAATGCAGGAAGTCACACAATTACAAGACCATAATAATCAAATGCAGTATGAACCGGATACAATAGCAAACATTTTTGTTGATTACTATGGGTGAAAAGCGAGAATGTAGAGGAGGTGTAATCCGGTGGTTCTTGGAGAATGGGTACATGTTGACTTCCAATCAACAAATGTATCTGTTGAGACCTTATACTAATAAAGAAGTAAAGGAAGCTATGTGGGGCATCAATGTGAATAAAAGTCCAGGTCCAGATGGATTTGGAAGTGGTTTTTTCAAGGAAACATGGGATATTGTAGGTGCAGATGTGACTGAGGCAGTCCTGTAATTTCTTGGAAATGGGAAACTCCTCAAACAAATTAATGCCACTACAATTACATTGATTCCAAAGGTTGCCAGCCCTTTAAATGCTGGCCAGTTCAGGCCTATCTCATGATGTAATGTGGTGTATAAGTGCATTTAGAAGATGTTATGTAAAAGACTGAAGCAAGTATTACCACGGCTTGTGAATGAATCACAGGTTGCATTTGTGCAAGGAAGATCTTTGGTTCATAATGTCCTCATATGCCATGACCTTTCGAGACACTACCAAAGGAAGATTACTCCTAGGTGCTTAATGGAGATAGACCTAAGGAAGGCCTATGACATGGTTAGATGGGATTTCTTAGCAGAGATGATGCTAGGATTTGGTTTCCCTAACAGCTTCACACAGCTAGTTATGACATGTGTAACCATTACTACTTTTTCAGTCAAAGTAAATGGTACAGGGCATGGGTATTTTGAAGGAAAGAGGGGCTTGCGTCAAGGGGATCCAATCTCTCCATTGTTATTTGTCATGGTCATGGAGTAGCTCTCAATAATTCTAAATAGGATGACCCAACTTCCAGATTTCAACTATCACCCAATATGTAAAAGACAGAGGCTTACACATTTGGTTTTTGCTGATAATCTCATGATTTTCTGTATAGCAAATAATAGCTCGGTACAGAGGGTAATGGAAGCATTGCATCATTTTTCTGAGGCATCTGGGCTGGTTGCCAATATTGATAAATCACACATATTCATAGCAGGAGTTGATGAGAAGACAAAAGAAAGAATAGTTCAAATGACTGGATTCACCCTAAGAACATTCCCTATAAGATACTTGAGCCTTCCCCTATCACCCAAAAAGTGGAATAAAATGGAGTGTCATCAATTGACTGTGAAGATCACAGAGAAAATTAGGGCCACTTCTACAAGACATCTGTCCTATGCAGGGAAGCTGCAGGTAATAAACTCTGTACTTTTCTCAGTTCATAATTTCTGGGGTGCAGTATTTGTGTTGCCTCAAAGTATACTGAATAAGGTAGATAGGAAGTGTCAGGAGTTTTTATAGGGAAGCTCATAAGAAAACAAGAAAGTGACTTTAGTAGCATGGGAGAAAATTTGTAAACCTAAGAAGCAGGGTGGTTTAAATGTAAAAGGGTGCAAGAACTGGAATAAAGTTTATGTGGGTAAAATGATATGGTTGATAATGGAAAAGGCTGATAACCTATAGGTCAAATGGGTACATGGACTTTATATGAATAATGGAGTGGATTTCTGGAACTACATACCTCAGGCTGATAGTAGTTAGTACTGGAAAAGGCTAAACAAATTGAAGTTGTGTATGATGAACTGGTATAGGAATGGAAGATATAGCCTGACTGCGAATGGTAACTATTCAGTCATGCAAGGATATCTAAAACTGATTGGGGACACACCAAAAATGGAAATTGCAGAGTTAGTATGGAACAGAATCAGTCTCCCAAAACATAGGTTCATCCTGTGGTTGGCTGTACAAGGTAGGCTATTAACAAAGGAAAGGATGATGACAATAGGGCTACAATGTTAAAATGCTACGTGTGCACTCTGTGATGGAGCTGGAATAGAGAGTGCTACACATCTATTTTCTGACTGTTTGTGGTCTACACAACTATGGGAGATGTTAAACCAATAGACTGGTACCAGACTTCAGCAGCAAGATGCTCTACAATCCTTAAGCAGAATACAAAGTAGGAGATGGACTGTGATGAAGAAGAGCATTGTTGCAACAGTATATGGAGCAGGCTTATACCAAATTTGGCAGGCAAGGAACTGGAAAATATTTAGGGACTCTACTGTACAGAGCAATATCATCCAAAGTATAATTAGAGAAAGAATGGACATGATAAAGACCTCAAAATGAGCTAGGAAGGCTAGACATATAATACATAGGCTATATAGTTAGTGCTAGATATTGGATGTAGTAGATGAGTTAAATTGTTTTTGTTTTGATTTTTTCTGAGGCTTTTCCTGGGATTACCAGGTGAAGTGCTTTTATTTGTAAATCTGAATTTGTTTGACGGACTGGTAATACAATTTCACATTTATTACCAAAAAAAAAAGAAATATTCCTTCCACAACACTTTGCAACATGAATCAAACAGCAAGAAACACAATGAGGTATCGCCTCGTATATAATGAAATCAAACCGAGGTATCGCCTCGTATAATCAAGAATCACAACCGAGGTACCTCCTCGTATTCACAGTTTTCAATTTCAATAACAATCTTTCCTTATACCACCGCATGAGCCTTATATTTAAAAATAGGTTTTGAAAATAGTTTTTTCCGAAATAGCTACACTCACTTTAGCCCAGCTTATGACACCACGTGGCTTCACGTAGTTCCCCTACAAGCAATCACACATATAAGTCCCACCTTATACCGCCGCATGCACATCAACCCAAGCCTTATACTGCCGCATGCGCATCAATACCATATCACAATAATAAACTCGCACCACAAGTGCCCACATATCACAACTTGCCAACAACAACAATATTAATGTTTCCACAACAATAGCACATGGCTCCATCACAGTGTATACAAGAATATCAACAACAATAATGGATGAAAAATGCTCAATAAGATAAATGTTTCAACAATAACCAACATCGCCTCAATGTATTAACGACTTTCACAACTTCAACACCAAACAACTCAACAATGAGAAAATAATATATGACCATGATATTAGATAAGACTAACTCACTATAAAGGAAATAATATTCAACAATGAGTCTCACATAATGAAAGTCAACAAGTAAAGGGGTAACACGAATAATTAATTCAAACAATGATAATTAACATTGAAGAGATAACATGTAACAATAAAGGGGACAACAATTTTAACTAAAGTATGAGAGCAATTTAGCAAGTGAGATGTAGAACAACTACTAAACAAGTCAACTAAGGCATTTAAGGATAGTCTAACACAATTAAGGATAATTTGCCTATGAGAATTTAGAACATAATATGGCATTTCAATTAAAGCACGGAAATAGTCTAAGTAGCCTAAATCGGTCAAATACTACGTACGACCCATGTACCCACTCGTCACCTTGCATACACGGATTTCACTTAGCACAACTGAATCAAACAATACCAATCCTAAGGTATAGTTCCCTCACACAAAGTTAGGCAAGACATTTACCTCAACCAGGCCAATTAAACACTCGTAAATAGTTTTTCCCTTAAAATACGCCTTCACACGGCTCAAATCTAATCCAAAATCGACTCAATATCATCAACAGTGCTAGGAAATTCAATTGTAATAGATGAAGTAATTTTTTTACACTTTTCCTAAGAAGTCAACAAAAGTCAACCCGGGGCTTGTCCAGTCGAAAATCCCGGGTTCAATAGTAGATTCCATCTACCCATGACCCCACGAGTTCATATATGTGATTAGTTTCAAAATTCGAGTCCAAATCGACTCTCAAAACTCAATTTCTTATTTTTCAACAAACTTAGCAAAGTTTCACCAATTTCTACTTTCATTCATATGATTTTGATGTTAAATTCTAAGATATTTTGATGGAATATGATTAGAAATAGATTAGAATCACTTACCCAAGGTCTGTAGTTGAAAATTCCCTCTCCAAATCGCCTCCTACCGAGTCTAGGGTTCAAAAAGAGAATGAACTCAAAAATCCTGGCTCGCAATTGCGACATGGGTTAGCGATTGCAAATAAATCCTTGAAATTGCGGCACTGAAGGCTTGGGGAAACTCTTTGCAAATGAGAAGATGGGATTGCATTTGCAACCCCTGTTGCCCTCGAAATTGCGACAAGATCATCGCAATTGTGAACCTAGCCCATCCCAGAAAACCTTCGCAAATGCGAACACTAGGTTTGCAATTGCGAACCCATCTGACTTGGCCTTGCAATTGCGATCAAGAATTTGAAAATGCGAGATCTGAGGGCTTGTGCAGAAAAACCAGCAATTCAATTCTAACAACAATTCGCTAAGCGTCCGAAACTCACCCAAGCCCTCGGTGCTCCAAATCAAATATCCACACAAGTCTAAAAATATCATACAAACTCGCTCGCTTGATCAAAACACAAAAATAACATCAAAAACCGAATTGAACTCTAAAACGCATGATTTTCAAAGAGATTTTGAAGAACTTCTTAAATTTCAACTAAGCATCCAAATCCTATCAAGTCAACTCCGAACGACGCTAATTTTTGCAAACAAGTTCTAAATTCCATAACGGACCTATTCCAAGTCCCAAAATCAAAATTTCGAGCTCAATAGCTAAAAGTCAACATACGGTCTAACTTTTCAACTTAATTGCCAAATTTCAGCAAATCAACACAAATCAACCTACGGACTTCCAAAAATCAATTCCGAGCATATGCCCAAGTCCGAAATCACGATATGAAGCTATCGGAGTCATAAAAACACAGTTTCGGGGTCGAAAAATCAAAGTTAGATCAATATTTTCAAATTTAAACTTCTAAGTCTAGAATCAAGGGTCCAAATCAACCAGAAAGCTTCGCAGAATGAAACTAAGCAACCCCGCAAGTCATAAAGATCTAAACACACAAGTGTGAAGCAATAAAAGGGGTAATAGGGCGCAATTACACAAAACGACAGATCGAATCGTTACATATTTTAGTGCAGGTAATACAAAAATAAATTAATAAAAATAGACGTAGATTTTATAACAAGTTCCTCAAAATTATATATTTTATATTGTAAAGGAATTTTAAATTATAATTTCAAAAATATTTCATTAATAACAATCAAAATTCG